CTCGAAATTGACGTGACTGCGATCGGCAAACATACAGGCTAGCGAGAGTCTCGTTGTAGCACTGCCATTGGCAATACAATGCAGCAATGGAGTGCAATCTGCGATGCGATGCGACAGAAATGCATGCCAATCTCGTTAATGGACAATCGAGTGTAGCGCATCGTTTGCTGATTTGTGTTTTCACGTCCATCAAAAACTACTCGAATCCGGCACGATGGTCCTTTTTTCTTTTTTCTCTCATTCAGCCGCGCGACTCATTATTCGCGCATATTATGTCACTCGATCGTATATTTAACGACGCTTAATTGCTGCTGCGGAATGTGGCGCGCAATGTTAATCGTGTCATTGAAATTACAGAAGTAGCGCAGTCGAGCCGCAATTGACTGATTGTTAACCGCGAATCAACGATGCAGCCTGCACCGCGTGCTAACGATACCTGTGATTAACAAAGGCCTCATCAATGTTGCCGTTGCGTTACCACATATCGAGAAACTCCGACACAATAGTTCCTACTCAAAGGCTACGATGTTGAAAGATGATTCTGCCTTGCACCTGCGAAAATTCTATCTTCATCTAGCGAAAGTTTTCGCGAAAATTTCGCCTATCTTTCTGATCTTTACTACTCCTTTCCCCTCTCTCTCTCTCTCTCTGTCAGAGTGTCAATAAACTATCTATCTATCTATCTATCTATCTATCTCATTTCCTATTTGCTTCATATAATATTTTGATATCTCCCGGAATATTTATATATGACGTTTGAAAACGAAAGGAATATTCGAGGAAGGGAATTTTTTGAGATTTCTTCTCCTCGAGGCAGTATCTAATTTCGATAAAGGCAACTTTTTCTCCGTCTGGTGGTTTTTGATAGATTGATCATCCCTGGCACAGCGTCGGCTTCAAAGGCTGGTGCTTATTGCGAGCCAGATGAACAAATTACATAAACTTTGTATTTTTGTATCTCTAGTCCGCACTAATTGTGTTTACGATCTCAACATCAATGAGTATCGTTCACGTATGATTATACGTTGAATATACCATGCGCACAGTTTCCGCGTTTCTGTCCTGATATACGTCGTATTTGGACTCAATTACTGGACATAACGAGAATTTTTATCGATACCGCGCAGCGTCCGATCGCTTTGAGATATATGAGTCGGGCGAACACACGCGGAATTATATTGTCGTTTGATCACAGCTCGCTGAGAATGGCGGGCAAGGAAATCCGTGAATTAAACAAAGTCGATCGCTATCCGCGGGGAAAATTGCGGCACGTTCGGCGTCGAGCGCATCTCTGCGAATTAACGATGCAACTGGTAAATAACCTGAAACACTACGTGATCCGCGCAAACCTCGGCTTCTATCGGCGTTCTGTCCGATGTTATCGATTCGCCGCGGAAAAACCGCGGCGTCTGATACGCGAGTCCGCGTAAAAAATAGCCCGGAAGTTTTTAACATAAAAACCGAAACGTGTTGTCGTGTCCATTGAAATTGCAGCGAAGTTTCGTGTTTTGTGTGTGTGACAACCGGATTTCGCAGTGGCGAAAAACAGAATCGCCGATGTTCCGGGAGCGCCTGTTGCACAAATCAGAGTTAAATTGCATTCTAACAAACTGTTATGGTTAATTGCGAAGCGGCACGGAATACTTCTCGAGTTGATTTCCGCACGCTGGCTGGTTCGTTCGTTACAGTTTACAAAAAATATAAAACTATCGGTCGTTCAACGATCTCGCAGACGGTGAATCTCTCGATACGTTGAATTCCGTCCGATGGAATCGCTATAGCTCGGCATAGTATCCTGGCATAGTATACTGTCATAAATCGTTCGTCAGCGTTTTGTTTTCTCATCAAACGAAAGTCTACGATTATTGATCTCACGTACAAAAACCGCGATGCATGCATACGCACGTCTGCATAAACGCGATCCTTCAATGTTTCATTTATTCACCGTCGTTGAGACGTCTGACCTTACTTTAGCCGCGACGAATCTTTTCACGGGCGAGGTGCCTTTCGTGATCCTCTTTGACGAAACTTTATTCATTCCGCTCTCTGTAATCTGACTTAATTAAACTTCCACTTCTCGCCCCGTCCTGTTCCATCTTCGAAGTGGATTAGTCGAACGTACTTACTATCGTAAGTCCATATCGAATCCGGATGTGAATTGATCAAAAGGGAAAAAGAAAAAAAACAAACAGGAGCGGAGGGACAAAGAAGAGGAGAAAGAAGAATAAAAATCGTGATGTCCGGATGTGTGGATTAGCGCGCAACGACGTTGTTCAATTTACCGTTTTCTATCTGGACGCAAGCTGGTAATACGCAGCGCGATAAAAAGAAGCGAGATAGAACGTGTCTCCGTTTTACTTGCTACGTCATTCGCTCTCATCTCTTGATTAAAGTGCGAGTAAGCCTGCGATTAAATGACGTATCACGTGAGAACCCTTCGTTTTTATTGTCCCGACTGTACACAGGTTCCCATTCTAGTAATTGCACATATAATGTAATACTTCGCTATCGCGGATCGCTATTACGGCTATTTGAATGCGACTCATCACGCGGAAATAAAAACGTTTCATGGCATTTTTTCTACTTTACAAATGTAAACAGTGCCACCCGTCCCGCGCGAAAAAACCATTTTAATGGCGTTAAAATTAATTCTGTGTTTAATATCTCTCAGGACTGAGTTTCATTCAAATCAGAATCTGGGAATAAGATTAAGAATGTCATTGCTTCGAGATATCGAGCAATTAGCAATTTTGTAATTACAAGAATTCAGAGATATTGCTCGTGTAGAAAAGGACGTAGAACTGAACAAAGATTGGGAGAATCGACTCGTTACACCGCCTGCGTCCTTAATCGGACATACTTCCTAATGTCGAAACTCGATACGACGCGAGTCAGTACTATAGGAGTCGCCAAGGAAAAAAGAAAACGGCGAAAACGCCGAATCAGCTGTCGCTATATGCGTGTACGCTACATGTACGCATGTGCACATGGTCGGTTAACTCGGCCGGTGCCTAAATATAGAGGATATACATACGAGCCGTTTATTTTGAAGATGGAGTAAGTGAAAGTCCCAAAGCACAATAGATTTTCGCAAGAAGCGATTACGAATCGGCTGTCTGTATTTTAGCCTTGACTCACATCTTTTTTAAATTATCGCATCGTATTTTTGGAATTGGAGCGGCTATTATTACCTTGGAGGCTACAAGCGAACAGAAAAAAGCCGAGTTCCAGAAACGATTATATTATTACGTAATCGGGTGTTTCGACAATTGCCTCTTCACCCAGAAGCAGCAGAATGACTTCTTCGATTCTGAAAAATTTCATCTCTCTCTTGATCTGTTGTATTGAGACTGATGTACATACTAAAAAATACCTTTCGATCACAAAATTCACGAGAAATTTTTGTATTACAATAATGTCCTTTGATGATTTACTAGATGAGTGCAAAGTTTTGATGAGTTTCTTAAAGATTATTAAAATGTGAGTAACATTTAGAAATATATTTTTTTCCCTGCTTTATTAAAGAATTATGGAAAAGAAGTAATTTCAAATAATTTCAAAGGGTAAATTCGGGGCAACATTGGAAGATATCAAGATGAACAAATTCAAAACCAAAGTAGATATATATAGGTTTGAAAACTGTTGTATCAAATATTCAAAATGGTGTTCACGAACTTTTAAACACGTATCTTTGTTGTGTTATACGTTTACATATCTATGAGTACTGTCGTAACTGATCCAGTTTTACGACAGTACTCATAGATATGTAAACGTATAACACAACAAAGATACGTGTTTAAAAGTTCGTGAACACCATTTTGAATATTTGATAACAACAGTTTTCAAATCTGTATATATCTACTTTGCTTTTGAATTTGTTCATCTTGATATCTTCCAACGTTGCCCCGAATTTACCCTTTGAAATTATTTGAAATTACTTCTTTTCCATAATTCTTTAATAAAGCAGGGAAAAAAATATATTTCTAAATGTTACTCACATTTTAATGAAAACCATCCGAATAAAAAAAAATTGTACCTCTTTTCTTTTAAGAAAAAAATGAAGGGTCTCTTATTGTCTCCCTAAAGCCTCTCACAAAAATCTGTTTACACACCAAAAATTGTCAGCCTCCATGTCCCATTTAGTGTAAAAAGTGTTCAAGTCTATATTTCCAATAGTCTCGGAGAAAACAACTTGTAACAAGTTACTTGGCCCACCATTTACACATATTCTATGTTACACTGAGAGAAAAGTATATGATATTTGGAACCATAATGATATAGTAACTAAATTATAGTCCGAAATATCATATTTATAGTAAGTATTACTATAATATCGGTAATAATTACGATATAGGCATAGTGTAATCAACCATATAATATTTTTACTAAGAATTATAGTAAGTTAAACTAAAATTATTGTATGGATACAAATATAAAATAGTAGGTAAAGTAATTCTTTTATATAGTCAATATCACCAGAATATTTGCTAAATGATGACAGATGTAACTGTACAGTGAGATTTAATATGAATATTAAATCTCACTGTATTTGTGAATGAGAAATTATCACATACGTGGTAAAAGTAACTAAACAATTATTTAAGACAATCATTGACTATATATTTGAGTTTGTTCTACTATATTTCGCAGGTTCCACCAACTATAAAAATATGGTTGACGCCAAAATGAACCGTAAAATATAGTGATATTATAGTTAATACAACTATATTTTTCTATCAGTGTAAACGTCAAAATATTCCAATTTAAAAGCCAAAACAATAAGAATGTCCAGAGAATGTTACGCGTTTCCACATCTATCTCATGCCACGCGACGAGAGTGATAATCCGCAAGAGAACAATATACAGCGGAACCGCCTCTTTTCGGCCGTTTGCCGAAAATTCGGACGTTAAATGCGCGTGCTAAATTGCCCCGCTGATTCGGGAAGCGATATCGTCGGGGCCGGAGAGCGACCGCCGCGCCGCCGGGTGTTCTTACTCACCGAGTACTAGTAGCAGCAGAACTTGTTGCGGGAGACGAGCCACCATTGTCGGCCCGTCCGCTCGCACATCTATGAATTTAAATCGAGCGATCCTGCCGTGCCTCCTCGATTTGCCCGTCGTGATCGCCAGCGCCCGCCGCAACAACATTCATTTAACGTTCCTGCCGGGCTTCCCACGTGGGCGTATGCGCCGATTATCCAGTTCGTCCGCGCACGCACGGACTCTTTTCACTTGGTCGTTTACTTTCGTCGCGCGCGCAACCGCCGGCACACACTCCGCGCACCGCACTCGGGGCTTCCTGCTTCGTCGCCGCCGAGTGCTCAGCGAATCTGGGAAAGAGTTCCGGCACTCGAGAGGATCCACTCTCCTTGTCGTCGTCGTCGTCGTCGTCGTCGTCGTCGTCGTCGTCGTCGTCGTCGTCGTCGTTGTCGTTGTCGTCGATCAAGCCGCGCACACACTCGCGCCCGATTAAACCCAACGACGCGATCTCTGAAATGGGAGGGAACTCAGCGTGAACCGACTCGCAGCGGTGATCGCGCAAATCGCCCTCGGCGCGCGCGTTCCAAATATAATGGCCTCTTTTTCGTTGTTTCTTTTTCCTTTTTTTTTTTTTTTCAACCGATCGAAACACGATTTGGCCAGGCAGGCCGATATTAATCGGCCCGCGGCGCTCTCGCGCGCGGTGGTCGCGATCGAGCGACGCTCGAACCTCGATATCTGCGCACATAAATATTTTAGGGGTACGCTCGCCGGTAGGCCAGGGATGGTAGATAGAACGGTCGATCGGGTGGGCGGGCGGACGGATGGACGGACGGACGGACGGACGAAGTGCCGAGAGATAGACTGGCGGGAAAAATAATTTACTAGTGAAATACAGCTTGACACAATCGCCGGATAATATCGGCGCGGTCATATCGGAGGCAGTCACTCCGCTGAGAACTGTCATTGACGGAAGTTAGAAAGGGGCTGAGAAGCGACGCGACGCGGGCTAAGAGCTTTGCGCGAATGTGCGTCCGAATGTGAGCAATTCTGTGTGTCTATCTACGTCTGTGTGTGTGTGTGTGTGTGTGTAGATACGCCGCACTGCCAATCGCCGTGGACTTTCGCGACAATTGCGACCCGAAGGACCGAAGCGCGTCGATGGTTAAATTGAAAACCGATAAGTCCTTTCTTTTCGCAAGTTACCCGATTGCTGTCATGTCCCCGCTACAATAGCGTCATCTCTCAAGGAAATGATTAGCGACATTTCATTCCCGGAAAAGTGCCTCACCGCGCGCGGATTTATTCGTTATCTGCTTGAGGGAGTCGCATTAGCCTCTTAATGTACGGAATAAAATAAAACTCGATGTGTGATAAAAATAGCACTTAATGTAGCTCAACTTAAAGCTTACGTAAGCTGCACAAGAAACGGAAGGTTCACATTGCTAAATGTCACAAAGCAATGTTAATAGGCAAGATTAATGAGCAATACGTCACGTATGAACGACAGCGTCTAAAATGACACACGGAGCAAATGACTGCCGGGACGACTTTGTATGTCAAGGGGTTAACGCAAGTACGCGGCGACCCGTGAGACACATCGTGGAACAACGTCGCGCATATTTGCCCGCGTTTTAAACGGGAGCGAAGGGTTTTAAATGCCGGCGATGTAGATTCGGATGCAATCCGCCGGAAATTCGCGACGCTTTACGCGACGTAGCGAGCAGCGAACTGTGAACAGTGCGAGTTGTGTCATACCACGTGCGAGCAACGGGATAAAGCTGCGCATTATATCGTGCATCCGCGATATTCTGAGCGAGCGAACGGCGCAATCGACACGTCGCGTCGCCTCTCGCGCCCTGCGCAAAGATCCGCTGCGTTACGAACAACGTGTGTGTCGTAGCGGCGAGCGGTGGAAACTGCGCGCGCGGAATAACCGGGTTACTGTTACTCGGCGACACTTGGCCGAAGAGGCGCCGCGCCGGCGATCAGGCGGAAACGGCAATTCGACGTGGGGACGCGCGAGAGCTGCGGGCGCGCTTTTAACGGCCGCGACAACAAGACGCGCGCAACGGTGTTTCGCGCGCGACGCTGGTAATTTTACCGGATTAAACTGCGAGAGCGCGCGCCACCGTCTCCTCCACGTCCGGCCGCTACTATTTCGCGCAGTTCATTCTTCCCTGGCGCGCATCCACTTTTTATCCACGGGGAGTAAAAACGGTCGTTTAGCTCGCGCCGCAGCGTCAACAGAGCGGAGGTACAAAAATCGCGCGCGACACTCAGCGCGCCGCCAAGTGTCGCGGTTATTAGCTTCCCGCGGAGGCTTCGTTCACCACCATCACCAACCGCCACCACCAACCATGGCGAATCAATTATTCATGGTTGCTTCTTTACGAGGGCCGTTCGTCAGGGAACTTCATACTCTTGCGGACACGGAGGTTTACGGGCGCGAACTTCGAAGAGAGTTCCTTGTAATTTTTCATGCACGTCGGGATTAATTACTCGGCGGCGGGGTGAGCTGAAGAGAGCGTGCTCCTTACGATTATCGTGCAACAAAATTAGCCTCACTCGGGAACCGACGGGAGCCCTCCCTTCCCGCGTGAAAAATTACTTCCGAGAGATTGAGCATGCATGGCGCAATGATCGTCGCAGGTCGTCGATTGCGATAGGTAATTACGCTCTTTTTTTCTATCCTATCGCCGTCGGCGTTCGCGCATTTATCACGGGGCTTTTGACAGCGCGTCAGAAAGTCGCGATTGCCACGAGAATGTTCATATTCATCGAGAAGTGGAATCAAAGTCACCAGTTGGCTGTCTTGCGAATTTTACATCACAATTTTTTCGCACAACGGAAAATCCCTGACCGTAATGGTGGACATGCGTTCACTATTTTTTACATCAATGTAACTGAATATGCATGATAGTGCAAAGGATCACTCGGCAAAAAAAAAAAAAAACAGGACTTGTCTAGTTGACTGTGCGCTTCCGGATTTCGTCGCGGAATTCTACGCGCGATGATTCATCTCGCTTTTCGCTCTCAACACGTCGCATGCGGGTATTCTTTCAAATTACACCCAAATTACACTGCGCGCGCCTGCGCGTGTACAATACCCTTTCAGCGATTCCTCGCGGCGTCGTTTGTAATTAAGAAAATTCGCGCAACACTGGCGAACAAACCGCAACAAACCGCAGCGCGGGAAAAAAGATGTTTTGCTTTGATGTAATTTTACATTTTATTCGTTAGGAAGAGAGAGAGAGAGAGAGAGGCAGCTTTTTTCACGACACATTCTTGCGCTTCGGACGAAGCCGGTTTCTCGCTAGTTTTCCTAGTCGCTAGTCGCTGCTATTTTGCCGGTTTTTACTCGCGATCGCGACGCAGCAACGGAGAAATAATAGACGTGTTTTTGTGCAAATCTTACGGCGAAATTCGCTCAGAGAGAAAGCAGCGTCACGTCAGGCACGCGCTGGTTATCTCGATTTCTCTCTCGCGGTCAGCTCTCTTGCTAATTTATTTATTCATGAGCGCTGGTTTCCCGCGAGCGAATTGGCATGCGACGGAATTCATAATTACTGGAATTTTTACATATCGCGAGTAGCGATGGGAACTCGCTCGTTATTGTTCGCGCAGTATGAAAACGGGAAAATTAATACGCCCGAGTCTGTCCTGCTGCGCTGCTCATCGACGATCGACTATTCATGCCACGTAGCTGCTTAATAAAAGCACGCGGATTTCCTTACAGTAACGTCACCGACAGAGGCGCGTACGTGCGTGGCATTTTTTCCACCGTCTGCCCGAATCCTTTCGCCGCAGCGACGCTTCCCGCGTCAATGCCGATAATGCCGTTGATTCATTTAATATGACGTGACTCTGTTAGCGGGATATTCGGCTAAAGCCGCGGGCTCAGCAGGCGAACGACTTATGCAATTGAGAAAATTCCATAAGGACGAGGAAGAATTGATCGGGCGGGGACGGGTTTTCGCTGTCGCACACGCGTGCCTCGAATACTCGGCGGATTCCTCGGCGGCGCGCGTACACGTATATTATATTCGTCCTCCGGCTGCGTGCGAATCTTTGGAAAAACCGGGGCGCCGCCTCGGCCTCCGCAGAACGCTCCTCGAGAATAGCTCCGGATCCGCATGCTCCTTGCGTATATCTCCCGCCGCAGTCTGTATTCGCGCGCGGCATAATTCCCGAGGAATCTCGGAGCGCGCCATAAACGTCGAGCGTGAGCGCGACGCTTTTACGCCGTAACGCCCGCGCGTGCAGATTCGCGCCCTCGTAAAAAAGGGAAGAGAGCTCGAAGTTGAAGGCGGCGGGGAAGGCGCGTTCGTCGCGTTCTTGGCGCGCGTACGTCGACTCGACGCCGACGTCCCGCGGCGGTTCGGCGAAGGTCGCCGGCGAATTTTCCAGCTCGCGTCCGCTAATCGCATCGCTAAGCGCTAAGCGAGGTTCTCACCGGTGGTAGTTTCAGGATTACCTTATCAAAGCTACCTCTCGGCGAAGCGCGACGGCGACGGCTCGAGGCCGCTTGGCGAGCTGCCGAGATTTTTCGCGGATATTTTTGTCACGCCATCGGTGAACGCGCATCGGCTCGGATCGCTGCCACCAGCGGTGCGCTTTTCGAGTGCGATTAGCGCGTGCGAAAATGTCGACACGTGTGTGCTGCGCACGGTCCGCTGCGAGTCGCAAGTGGGATACGTACGGGAGCGATCAGCTCGGGCGAGGTAACGACAGAGAGAAAGAGAAAAAGGGAGAGGAAGAGAGAAAGAGTGAGAGAGAGAGAGAGAGAGAGAGAAAGAGGAAGATCCGCGGTTCTTGTAACTCCGGAGGCGCTCCGTCAAAAATCGGAAGCCGACGGAGAGAGGCACGCGCGTCGGAAAAATCGCGCGCACTTTCACTGGCGACGCACACGAAGCGCACGCACATGCACGTGCATCGGTCCCGCGGAGTCAAACGTGGCGTCGCGCCGAGCGAGCGCGACCAAGTAGTACGAGTCTACCGCCCCGCGATGCGTCGCGCGCGGACTCCGATCGCCGACTGACTACTAGCTGCGGACTGCACCGGTCGGCCATTTCTACTTCGCGCGCGCCTCTTCTGGCGCCGTCTCCGTCGCCCCGATTGCCGGCGTGTTACCCTCCTGAGGAGAGAGAGAGAGAGAGACGATGAGGTCACACTTTTGGCGAAACCCGCGCGACAGCCGCTCCGAAAGAAAGCGCTTACGCTAATAATCGCTGCTCCCCCCCTCCTGCCGGTTACGCTAAAGCGAAATATTCCTATCGTTTCGTAACGAAATATTCGTAACGTATCGCGCGGCCTGAGCGAAATTGTCGGATATACAGAGTGAAATTGTTTCCGAGCAATTCGCATTTTCTGTGAAATCTCGAGGAATTGACACGTGCCTGTTTTTTGTTTCGCGACATACCGCAGTGTGCGCTGTGCGAGAGAAGGAAAATTGTGGAACGCACATGTGTGGAAGATTCGTTTGTTCAACCGATATAAAATGATATATTCCCTCGTTCGTATTTTCTGTATTATTCATTCCCCTCGGTGATGTCATAAAATGAGCGGAACGAGAAAGATGAGATTTTATCGCGGCGCGCGAAGTTTAAGCTCTTACATTTTCGTTTTTACGTTATCGCAGATGAATCATGAAACCGAAATTATCAGTAAGTGGAGATTAGCGATGAAAAGCCTTAATTACAAGAGAATGTCAATTTCATGGCGATAGAAGCGAAATGAATAACTCGTTATTAACTTGTTCCCCCTCAATTACAGCAAACTTTGGTGAATTGCTCCGGCTGTATTATGATAATTGTTGGCCGCAACTTTTTGATAAAAGTTTGTGATTTAATTAACTTGCGGCGAATGGAACTCCGTTATCAAGGGAAAGAAGTTGAATCTTGATCGATATTCACGGAGGGCGAATTTAAATAACGTCGCGGCACTCGCTTCCCGTGAGATTGTTAGAAATTTTTTCCGGACATGCTCAATAATCAAAGAACGAATTCAAGTCCTTCGGTTCTGATGGACTTGAATTTGTTGTTTGCACGATGGACGGTAGGATAAGACACGCGGATTAAATCGCGACTCAATTAACTTCGTTGTCTATCACATTTTGTCGTCGAACGACAAATTTGTCGAAGAATTCTCGATCACATAATAAAATTTCTTGAACGGGAGAGTTCACGCCTGCGGCGGTTAAGGTACAATAATCTGGTGGTAGGACATTGCGTGTGAATGAGTATTACGTCCCAAGGCGGACATTCTTATTGAAAAGCTCTGGCGCGACAGTCTGATCGAGCACCTGTCGATGGCAGACTTCGGCTAGCTTTTTCCAATCCACCGGGGCATTCACCGCCTGCCGATCACCAAAGGCGATGCTTATTTGCGTAAATTGCACGCAGCAGTTGCGCACGCGATGATCAATTGGAACGTTAAAACGGCTGTTTCGCCGTTTAGATCGCGTTTGCGATCGCAGTAATTATAAACGAAACGCAGTAATTAGAACATATAAAGCCCGAAATATAACTATAACTACATAACTGTAAACTAAATCATATAACTATATAAATAAATATAGATATATGTGTATGTGTATAAAGTACTTGCAAAGTACAGTTATTTATTCGCGTAATCTCTCTTATTAGGAGATACTGTTCAAGTTCTGAGTATCCGAGGATTAAGAACTTGGGATCCCCCGAGCTTCTCGTAAATTGCACAACGTTTTTTTAAGTTTTTCCAAGTTTAAATATCCATGATCTCGCGCAATTCATGCTCTGCGAAATTGTTACTACTCTTTTGGAACAATTTAGAAATTTTTCGGCTACAGCGAATATATCGATTCCTATTATCGATCAGTTGTTGGCTGCATTGCGTCTACGAGTGCACGAGCGTTCTTTATCTATGTCGGGCTATAAATTAACGTCCAACTACTCTAAGTTTGTTTCCGGTCTAATTTATACACCGTGATGCTTGTGTTGCTGAAAAACAGGAGTGGAGTTGCGCTATTTGTCTCGTGTATCTAGTGCATTGTTTTATGAAACTGTGCGGCGTACTAAGAACAAGTATAACGAAAGCGACACGCGCTTTGTTGCGTTATGAATTTGCTTGCTGACGTGGCAAATTTATTTCCTTTATTCGGTTCAGGACGAAATAGACTGATTCTTGGTGTCTGGTATTTTGCGATTTATCACTGATCGAGTGTGAAATGCTACACTCGCGTGAAAGTTACTTTCTCGTAACGAAAAATTTTATTTTTACATTATCGCATTATCGAGTTCTGTTGGTGTTTTAGAAACTCTGGGATTTATCAATTTCATCGTAGCAGCAACTCGGTAACTACCAAAAGGAAATTCAACGCGTAAAACCACATCCCAGTTACGATACTGTTAATTCAAAATAGGCGGACAGTAATAAAAAATCTTATACTGCTTTGTTTCAATATTAACGTATTACACATACGCGCATTTTAATTAATAGCTTCTGTCACTGATGGAATTGGTACTTGTTATATGTAACGAAGTAATACAGTTTTCACAGTCCAATATAAAGAACATCACTTTCATCCTGAATATAATTGGAAATTATATTATATATTAATTTTAGAACTTTAATTATATTATATATTACATTTGAAAATTTCTATCGAATCTCCAGGGAAACTTACTACTACCTTTGGATTTACTTCGTTCGTTAATTAACCAATTATATATTGATCTTGGTCATAATACTTTACGTCGCTCTAATCTATGTCAAGCAGAAGGAAAAAGAAAAAAGAAAGGGAGAAAGAGAGACAGAAAGACAGGAAGACAGAAAGAAGGAAAATTACGATTTCTTCCGCTACTTACGCACGGCATATTGACCTCACGATTCATTTTAAAACCACTTCACTTTTCCTACGTTGCCTAGCGTTATGTAATATCGTCTTCGTAATATCGCTCAGGAAAGAATATCCGACGACAAAGTAGCATCTGTATTTATTTCGCCTGCTTGATGCATCGGTCGAAGCGAGATCGATGCAAAAGTAAACAAAGAAAAAAGAACGAAAATATATATAATTTGCCGACGTGCGTTAAAAAAGATCCTCGTTAAAAGCTCGCTCGTTAAAAGGTTTTCCTTCCATTTTCAGAATTCTGCCATTATTATGGAGCGATCAGAAGGAAGATCTCTCGGGACGCATTTCCCAGAGACTCTTGTCGTTCTGAGCGGATCCGTTGGAGAGCACAGGATTTGTCGATTTTTGAGGTCACCGTCTCATCTCTCTCGCGTCGTCTTCTCATTCCATTTTCGCCGTATCGCCTTTCGGCTTTCCTCCCGGCCGACTAAATACCGCGTCCTCAAAGAAAGTGTTTTGCATGGGAATATTCAACGGGTCGCGCTGGAGGTGTCAGAGAGAGAGAGAGAGAGAGAGAGAGAGAGAGAGAGAGAGAGCGCGCGCGATATGCGCTCTTCGTGATCCTCGAGCGGACTATTTCTACTTAACTGACTGACATTCATCGCGGCTGAATAACAGCGCGATTAATTCGCGCGATTAATTCGCGGAAAATGCTCGATGGAAGGAAGGACGGCTGTTGGAGATCCCGCGAGAAGCTGTATGTAGGAAATGGAGTGTTTCTAGTTACATGGAACTCCCGTGGATTTTGTTTATCGCTGCTATTCGAGCCCCGCTCGCGGTGATATTACGATCGCTGCGGAACACTTTTATCGACGGAGTCTCTGGATTCGTCCGCTCTTTGTGCGCGCATTTAAGTAGGCGAGTAATCAGACACGCGTGAAATCGAAGAAGACTCCGGCAACAGTGAGAAGCGGAATCAAGCGATCCAGTTGCGTGTGTGGAGGGCGTGTGTGTGTTATCGGCGAGAGGCCACGCTATTTCCTTCCGTATTTTTATTAAATAAAGCGCGATCGCACTGCGGGATCGCGGTACAACTTGTTTCGCGTCGCGGCACGTAGATATAAAAGTAGACGTTACTCGAGAGAATGTCGATGATCAGTGTTATTTACGTTAAGAGTAATGTTATTATAATTTACACTTGGTCTATAGTGGTTACTTGTGATCCCCGCTCGACGCGAGCGCGCGCGCCAATGCGAGACGTTTTCTTATCCGCTATCGTGTGAGATATCGAACGTGAGACGGCACTTTGCGTCGTTTCTCTTTCCGTGCGAGATCGCGGACGGATCTACTGGTAACGGGAGTCGGTGCAAGGACCCGTCGCGTCGTCCGCGCAAACACACGTCCTGCCGGCCTGGCCATCCGGCAAGCAGAGTTGATCCTTGCTGCACCTTCCGTTGTCGTACTGACAAACGTTGGTCGCTGGAACAAACGGGCGCTCGTAAATATTTACCGAGAGTTCTCCGCCATATTGAATTTTCATTTCTGGAAGTAAAGAAAGTAACGAGGACGGTTTGTTCTCTCCCTCTTTGAAGAGAGACGTGCGAGAGGGAGGGAGTTGCGATATGTCTCGTTAGCTTTAAGCTCGGTGTTTGAAGGGATCGACTTCAAAGTGCGCCCCGAGAAGGGTGTACGGGTTGCTCGTAGGTAGATGAGCTCGTAGGTATTTTTACTAACAAATCACAGGCCGGTGCCTGTTGTAGTCAGCCATCGCTTTATTTTCATTTTGTTTATTTTTCATTTTGTACGAGAACTTTCTATCATCGGGAGCAACGGTCGTGACACGTTATTGAATAATTTATATAGTCATGTATCGCTGTAAAAGTGTCACTTTTGAATGTTTCGTGAAAATGCCTGCAAACTTATCAGCAACAATCAAGTATTTCTACGGAAATGTGAAACTTACCGCTTGGGCATGATTCGGGAACGACCACGATGCCGTACAATTTCCCACTTCCGCCGGGCGGAACGGACAGCGGTGTCCGTTTTTCGCCAGTACTCTTCATGCAAACTTCGATCTTGTGCCTGCAATGCGAAGAAGCGGAGAATAAGGCAAACACTTTCGCGCTCCCGTGAATATTTGAACGACTTACGTTTTCCAATCGGTCCAGTAATAATAATTTTGAGAGATCGCCAAGCCGAATGGATAAGTGAGCTCATTAGCGACGACGCTGACTTCCTTGCTGTCTATTTCGACGCAACCTGAGAACAAGAGATCACTTGTTGTAAGAGAGACTGTAGCTTCACGGAGACATGACGAAACGTCGTACCGCGCCGTCGGGCATTTTCCCCTTAAGATTAATGAACGCTATTTCAAACGAGCGCCCACGTGATTAAAATCTATATTTACTTATCGTGAACGTCCCGGCGTCGGCCCAGCAAAGCTCATCCGTTGACCAATCGATACTTAATGAATTTGGCAGCTTAACGTAATCACCCTGAAGGAAGATTGCTCGGTCCGTACCGTCTTCGTTGGCCCATTCCAGTTTGGGGGAAGCGCGATTCCAGTCAGACCAGAATATTTTACTGGAACGATAATATCAATAATCTCCCTCTCTCACGAAAGTCTCAATAATTCTGTAAGATCGCTCTCACTTGAATGATTTGATGACGTAATGTGATTACGATCCGATAATATCGCGATAGCGAAATGGCAATAAATAGCAGCGTTATTGGCTTCAGATTAATCGAGAAATACGAATAGAGACGGAGGGAAATGCAAGTAGAAAGCTGCAGGGGTCTCTCTCTCTCTCTCTCTCTCTCTCTCTCTCTCTCTGCTATATATATATAGAGCAAAATAAATGGCGATCGGAATCGCGAGAGAAATGTGCCACTTCTATTTTACTCGCGCAGATAATGCACGCGAGAGAGAGAAAGAGAGAGGGGGGAGGGAGAGGGTGGAAAGAGAGAGGGGGAGGGGGAGAGAGAGAGAGAGAGAGAGAGAGAGAGAGAGAGAGAGAGAGAGAGAGAGAGATGATGATTGATACTAGATGGAGGAGATTCTCGAAGCACGCGAAACTGAAAAGTTTTGCAAATAGATTTCCTCCGCCGCCGTAAGCCATCCTTACCCCCGATATGGATGAACAGCTATTCCCCTCGGATTGACCAGTCCATCGGAAACGAGTACTTTGCGTTTCTTTGTCAGGAGACTAGCAACCTCGACGGTCGTCTTGCCGGAATCGGTCCAGAAGATGTTCCTCGAGACCCAATCGACCGACAGTCCCTCGGGACTGCTAACTTTCGGGATGAATGTCTCCGATATCGATCCGTTATAAGATAGCTGGACTATTCTGTTACCTGCGAGATAGATTGCGAGATCAACTTATAGATCGTCCCGTTTTCAGCTGCTAATTGCTTTGGCAACGTGCCCCGGCAAGGCGGGTATTAACGGCCGATCGATATCGCGATTAAAATCAAAACGCTTGTCGCTTGATTTATAGAGTTATTCATCGCGCGATAGATCGCGCGGAGTCGGAGTCGGAGCTTGGGGCTTCGTTATTCGGCGAAAATTGGTCGTTTCTTAAGTGTCGAGGCAACATCAGATATTGATAAGTTCGAAGCAGCTAGACTAGCACGAACGAGCGATTACCGGTAATATCACTGGAGTAAGCTTTCCCGTCGAAGCAATCGATATCCAGGGCGATCGCCATTTGCGTGTAAGCTATGTAGATCGGATATCCTGGATTCTGTTGTGTAGGTATGAACGGTATCCGGTGCGTGGCCATTCCTTGATTCACCAGCAAGAAGTTAGCTTCGTGCTTCGGCCGGCGCTTGCAGTTGGCACCGTCGCCGGTGTAACCGTCGTTGCAAACGCAAGCGAATATGTTTTCGCCGACCGACACGCACGTTGCATCCGGCGAACAGAGGCTGGGGTCGTCCATGCACGAGAACTGCGGGTAGCACGTGAAACCGTCGCCGTAGTAACCCTGAAGACGAGAAAGATCACGCTAATTCTCGCGTTTCGCGCGCCGCGCAAAAGCGACGATTCATTCGATATCGAGCTGAAATATTTTCTTCTTTCGGAATATTTTCTTTCTCTAATTCAAATTCGCGTCCGCTCTCGGACGAATATTTCCACCCGGGCTACTAATTGCCGCTCTGTATTGAAAAAAAGTCCGATATATATTTTTCTTTTTAACAAATGGCAGATCACTGTAACACGCACGCGGCCGTGCCGCCGCCGTGCAATTTGTAGTTGAACTCGATTTCATCGCGATATCGGAATAATTCAGTTTCATTTTATCCCAGTCCCAATCCCTGGCTGATTCGATTTAATTTAACTCCGATTGACCGGTGCGTTTCATCTGTTGTTCGTAACATTGCACGACGAGGAACTAAGTAGCGGCGTGCATTCGACCGTCGCTCCGTACGATCACTCGTACGGCACTCTCATCTATACGCACCGGCTGGCACATGCACACGTAATTCGCGTGCGACTGATTGTCGTACGCGCAGACTGCGTTGCGGCCGCAGTTATTCACAACGTTACATCCGATGTGGTCCTGCACGCACTGGCCGATACCGTCACCGTGGTAGCCGCTCAGGCAAACACACTTGTATTTGTCGTCGCCTACGGGTGTACACTGCGCGTTCTCGTGGCATTCCGAAGGATTTATCGAACAGTCGGTCAGCACGCACTCATCGCCAACCTGAGTGTATTTGGGCTTGCAGGTGCACTCGTAGCGCGAGCTGCTGGGATGTAAGGTGCATCGCTCGTTCTTCCTGCAGTCCGAATCCTCGGTGCACTCATCTGGAATATGAATGAAACGCCCGCCCCCCGGACTGTGAGTCGACTTGTCTCTAGTCGATTCATTTACAACTCGACAAAAGAGAGAGGCAGAGAGAGAGAGAGAGAGAGAGAGAGAGAGAGAGAGAGAGAGAGAGAGAGGGAGGGAGGGAGGGAGGGAGGCAGAAACAGGTCATGCGATTCTCTAATAGTCTACGTAATAGTCCTCGTAATATATTCGTAATATATTCGTAATAATTGCTTGAAATCATTATCGGTCGAATCGAAAGTTTTAAATTTGTGACGAGGTTTCTCGATTTATATGATAATGCGAAATGCAAAGGGGGCGATATATATGCGCGATAGGGGCAGCCGCTTGAAAAAAAGAAATCGCGTTGACATTTCGAAGTGCTCCGTGCAAGATGTGCAATAGCGTGGAATGAGCGAAACAGAAGTTCAAAGGGCGAGAGAAGGGAAAAAAAAATAAAGATGATGAAAGCACCGATGGGTTGGCACAATGTCCCGTCGCCTTGGTATCCTGGATTGCACACGCACTTTGGCACCGGCTCGTCGGACTGACAGGACGCGTTGGGGTCGCAGTGGTCCACCTCAAAACAGGACACCTCTGTTCGAAGAAGAAGAAGAAGAACAAGAAAAAGCGTTGTACTGACATATTAACGTACCTTCGCGCCTTTGGGGAGCTCTAGATCTCGTCCTTGGGAAAACGCAACTGTCGAAGTTGGGGGGATATTAAAGAGAAAGTGCCACTAGTTTCTCGAGAAGCGAACAATTTGTAGTATCAAGTATTCGCGGATTAAAACGTGCAAAAAGACACCCAAAAAAAAGTATTTTTATTCGTAAAGTGATCTTTCTCATAGTCTCATATTCTGAACGAAGCCTTTTACAGGAAAAGGATTCCTCTTTAGATAAAACGATTAAAGTGAACCATTCATCTGAAATTTATTAGATGTTATTCTAATTGTTTTTCTCTTATTTCAAAAGGATTTCCTCTTATATAATTAATTATAATTAATTTTCCTCTTATATGAAGAGGAATATGTTGATTTGAATGTCGGCTTTTTTTGTCTAGTCATGTTCTTCAGACATGAATGAAAAAATAACCATACACTCATGGATCAGAATATTTGGAACATTTTTTTAAAAAAGGTACGCGTATTGCTCTAACATATAACGAAGATAATTTACTCATATTTGGTCAAATACAGTTTATAATCTATTGAATAACATATTCTTTCTTTTAACTATGTTTCATACAATTGGTTACGATGAACGTTTTTGTAGCTATGAAGTCCATAACAAAACTAATTGGAAATTTATTTGTTATAACGATCTTATTTCATTCGTGCCTGCTTATTGTGAAACTGGAGCCAGAAGTACATCTATTATATATATTACTTTTCGCTATACATTATATGTAGCAATTTTGTCAAATTAACTGATATAACCAGTAAGAATAAAGTACAGTAAGAATAAATAATAATCCTCTTGGAAAAAGATTAAATAATCTGTGTATGAGCGGAAATTTATATTAAAATCAATAAGATTTGCATTATACATATGACACATAATCTCTCTAATTTTAAGAATAATGTGTTTATAATATTTGTTTCTTAACCTTAGGGGAGTCCTCTTGAGACCATATATAAGAATAAAATCCTCTAGAATTTAAATGATTCCACTTGTTCTGAAATTACTTTTTTTTGGGTGAGCGTGATTTGTATAATAGATTCTCTGAAATTCACGGGAAATTCAGTGCACGAGTACACACGATGGCATTTTCGTGCGTCGCCGCAGAACAAAGCGGCAGATTAATCGGCGTTCTCCAATACCCTGCGTTGCGTTGAACTCGTCGTGTTGAACTGTGTTGAGCAAGGATGCAGGATGCGTCTCAGACGTACCTGTCTTGGTGCATTCCATGTAACCGTCGCCCTCGTAGCCCTGACTGCAACGGCACTCGTACTCGCCGGTATTCGTCATGTAAATGCACTGGGCGTATGGGTGACACCTGTTCATCACGTTGCATGATACTGGGACACAAGTGTGCGATTATGATACATTGCACGGCAAGCGGCGATGGTGGCGATTGGCTATTTCGGTAGTCGATCCGAAGTGGAAATGAGAGGAGGGGGAAAGAAATGTAACGCAGGCGACGAGATCCTGCATGATCGGATAATAGAACGATAACGAACGAAGAACGAGCGGTTGATTATGAATTTGCGATTAGCAAAAGGAAGAGAGTCGACGGGGGTGTCGAGTCATTCCTATACTCACGTCTTCATACTCGCGTCTTCGTAAGCGATCGATACCGCGCGACGCGTCGCGCGAGATGAAAGTTTCGAGAGAAAATATGGCTCGGAAAATGTATTAAAGTTGACGCATACTTAGACTATCACAATTATCAGGATATTGGAACCTGTTTTGATATCGCGTTCCCAAGTATCGAATCTCGTGAATATCGATAACATCTCGCGGGCTAGGTAAGCATTCGTCTCGAAATCGAATCGTTTCATGTTCCCTCTCGTCAGAAGGGAAGAATACGAAACGCAGAATGTGTTTGCATGAAACTCGCAACGTGGGTATCGGGAATATACAGGCGTCTAATGGAATTAGAGTGCGCTAGCTAATTACATCGCGTGCGACGACGATCCTTCTTGAAAATTGCATGCGTTGCTGATAGCGCATCTCCCAATTTCTCGAAGCAATCTTCCGTCACGCTATTCGCTAAAGCTTGCGCATCGAAAGTTCTCGAAAGCGAGTTTAAGGACTTGAAGGATGGCGAAACTTCGGCTACACTTATTTACAAGACAAACTACTTTCCCTCGCTAGCAGCTGAAAAAAATGGATATATCCGCTCGGGAACTCGCGCGATTATATTCGAGTTTCGGTAAACGGGAATGCTGTCGACACATCTCGTCACGTTCCTGCCGACTTTGCCTGTGTTGCAAAAACATTATTTTCGCATGCCACTCATGCGTTTCAGTTCCATGCAAGACCGCGAGCGTTTTCGATTATTTTCAATTATCCGATAAGAATAGGAGCGTATCGTGAGAAATGCAGTTTGCAACGTTTCGCGACGCTTTCCCGATATTCGTCAATCTCTTAGAGACACAAAACTCGGTTTGAAAATCTCTTAGAGACAAACGCATCTCGGCTGAATTCTCGGCTGAAGCTTTAATGTTTGATCAATTCGTTTATCTAAGCACCGATGCTTAGCGATAATTCCCGCGATAATCCATGCTACATATGCTTCGTGCGAATGCCTATGTATATTCTAATCACATCGATATTCCTCAGAGAAATGCAACGTGTTTGCTCTCGACGGAAGCTACGCAAAAGATGGTTGATCCTTTGCGACAAGTCAGTCGCGGAATTGTTTCTCGTGTAACTTACAATCTCGTTCGTCGTAGTCAGTTGTCGAGGGGTATCCCTCTTCTCGTCTCACGCACGCATTGTTGTGGAAATACCAGCCGTCCGGACACCAACACATATCGAGTACGCACTGCGGTTGCGGCGGTGCGTCCGTAGTAGTGACATCGGACTCGGCGTAACACGTATACCCATCGCCTGTAAATAATTACATATATATAACGGGCAAAAACACTTTACGAATTGCAGTATCGCGATTGAAACGATGGTAATTTACCGCCATGTCGCGTGACAAGTGGCGTGAATGCGCGTTATAACTCTTGTGTCCAATTTCATACATTTTCAGACTTTTATGAAACAACGAGAAAATTTTCTGAAAATTTTCTCTCTGTCAAATTTTCGTCTGAGTCAGACGACTCTGAGAACCTGTGAAAAATATGCAACGCGCAGCCACCGCGCAGCGTGCCGAGCTTGCAAAAATGGGCTATCATATTTATGTTTAAGACATTCATGATTGGATCTGTAAGAGACAAAAAAATACAAAAAGTGACAATTTTTTATAAATTATATACTATATATTCTATATGTTCTCCTCTTGATTACTCAACAAGAGATTGATCAATCATAATACGCCTCGCGTGTAAAATAATCGACTGTAGGTATATACAAATAATGTATAATGACAAAATAAAATATTATGATTTTAATATGATGATTTTTCAATGTACGCGTGCTCTTAACTATCATGTAAAATTTTTAGACGTATCATTAATGAATAAATAATTATCATCAACCGGCAAAATAATTCTCTCGCACTAGACCTTCGACGACATCATCGACGAGACACTAATAAAAACGGTTGGCTTTTTTAGAGTACCAGAGAAATCTCGCTGAGCGTTAATGCCTTCTTAGGAATATCGTGGCTGGAATATGAAGCTGTAGCTCGAAATAAGCATAAATAGTAACAAATATGGAACAATAAGAAAAAGATATCGGAAAGTATCAACGTCGACGAGCATTTTTGTAAATGCCGACAATTAGCATAGCCAAACTTTCGTATTGGCAAAAGGGCCCTGAAGGGCCTGGAGGTAGTCGTCTCTTATAGGCACTAATTTTGTTACTTGCACATATACATATATAGTATTTATTCTATGCTTACTGCCGGGGAGGGAGATCAATTATCCTCCGGCAACATAATAATTAAGTATTCAACGTACGGCTTATGCCGGAAAATGTTGTATTTCTACCTCGGAGGAAATTGTCCTCCGAGTAAAATTAATTGAAAAATAAAACCGGAGTTAACAAGCTGAAACATTTGAAGTTTACATGTATGATAATTATAAACCCTCAGAGACTACCTCTCGCCTTTCTCTCTGCTTCAGAGTCGAAAACTGAATTCTTTCTATAAGGCATAGAAACAAGGCAGAAATGCAAATGTCGTGTTATCTTCGGTATAGCTGAAATAGTCGGTACTGTCAAAATTCTTGAATTACCGCCAGGCCCGTCGAGGCCCCGTTGCCAATACGAAAATTTACCCAGGGCTGACAGTCCTTAGCATTACCTTGTCAGTGGCTTCACTCACCTACGTAGCCGGGCATACAGATGCACACGTGGTTCTTTCTATCCTTCTCGAAACTGCAGAACGCGTACGGTGAGCAGTTATCCTCCTCGTTACAGGTCACTGCAAAAGTGCAGTCGTCGCGCTTATCAGCAATATTATCGCGATAAGATACCTTTCTCGAGAGATATTCCCCGAGAGCAACTTACCATGCTGAACGGAAGAACAACCCTGATCTGTTTTCTCGAAACCAGACATGCAAGTACACGTAGGCGCACCATCGATCATTGTACATCGCTCATAAGCTCCGCAGCGTGTGTCTTCGCAAGACGGCAACCCTGCGGTGAGAATACATTAATAGAATTGGACCCGATAAATACAACAGATCAATTAAGATTAAACATTTAACAAGGACATGTTTTATATTCTTTAACATTTTTATATATCTTTGAATTTTTGATACTATGGTATTGTGAAAAGTGTAGAATCTGATAATTTAAAACTTTTATCCACATCTCACAGATCTCTCCAAGGATATTATAAGGTGTTAAAATTATTCTCGTCATTATCAGCAGCAAGAACTTGATCAACCTTGTGAGATGTTACCAAAGTGTGGTAACTGATACATCCATGGTGATTTATTACGAAAGCAATATAATAAGCTCTTACTTTCGCAAACTCTGCCGTCTCCGGTAAATCCGTGTCTGCAGTGACACAGATGGCTGCCTTCTTGATTGATGCATTGAGCGTTCGGAGAGCACATGTGGTTACCGGCTGTACATTCGTTCACGTCCACGCAAACCGCGCTGCCGTCCATGTCGTACAGATACTGATACCTTATCACATATTAAACAATATGAAAAACGCAATAATTTAAAAATACTATCACTCATCCGAAGAACGATAAACTAATAGATCGATGTTGAGATTGGAGAATATATGTATTAAAATTATTTTGTTTATTAATTGAATTATTAATTTAATTATTAATTTAATTATTAATTTTGTTTATTCCCGAGAATATTTCAAAAGAGGATCCTTTTTGATATGTATGTGAGATTCCTCTCGCGATAAAATTTTGGTAGACATGTATTGTATCCTGAAAAACCAAAATCGCAAAATTCGGGAACTCTCTCTCTCTCTCTCTCTCTCTCTCTCTCTCTCTCTCTCTCTCTCTCTTTCTCTCTCTCTCTCTCTCTCTCTCTCTTTCTGCAGTGTACGACTTCCTAGAAAGTCATAACGTCGAAAACCGAATACTCAAACAAAATTCCGAAATACAATTTTCCCGAAATACACATTTGTTTCGAGGAAAGATTATTATCAGGAAACTGTACGCACAGGTGTCTTAATGTCTACTCATTTGTAGTATTCAAACGGGTAAATACAATTCCAACATTTCGGTAAAATTGTACCTTGGCAGATTATCTTGGTGTTCGAATTCCGATAGCCTTGTAGAAAAATATTACTGGCTGTAATAGATTGGCCAGTGATAAATTATCGCAGTGACCAGTAATAATTTTGTTATTCATACGAATAATAAAATTACTGGGCAACGATAATTTATTACCGGCCAATTTTTTACAGTCTGCAATATTTTTTAAGGTACAGTGACTTTTCAGGGAATTGTCTCACTTTTAAATCTCGGTTGCATATATCGCATTTTGAACTTCCGCGACAATGCATGCCCACAAAAATTTCACGCGAAAGACGAGATTGTCACCCACCCCGTGTGGCACACGCATTTGAAACTGTCTCCTTCGACTACGCAGGAACTATGAATACCACAGGTCTCTTGTCCTTGAATGCAAGGGTCCTCTTCCTCGAGAGGCGTTATTTTCGTGTTGACGGCGAACCGAACGATACCCTCAGGCGCCTCGTAGCTGGTGAGGCCCCTGGAAAACTTGAGCCTGGTCGTGTCGTCCTCAGGATCGAAAATCGCGTATGGGCACTCCTGATACGTAATTATCTGTTCCTGCGTGTAGGCGATCTCCCGCTCGTTTCCGTTATGCGAAAGTTTACAAGTACGCTCGCTCTGCGTGCGGATCACTCCCGGTTGGGCCCGAGTATACAGCTCGTCGTAATCACTGTAGTCCACCATGGTGTCCGGATCTAAGTACGGCACCGTACCTTTGATGTTCGCTTCCATCTTCAGCTGACCGAAGACGTCCAGTCCGAGGTAATTGCTGCGTATCGTCACTTTGTCGCCGGTCGACGGGAAGACCAGGTCTGCCGTGTGATTGAATAAGCCTCCTGTTCGTGAAACACACTCGTACTGTAACACCCGCGTGGCTAGTCGCGACCGAAGTGCTTCGATCTTCCCATGAATCTCGACTACGACAATTTGATTCTCCGTCATTTGCCGGTTATAATGTATCGTAATCGTAGCATTCCAGATACAAAGCAGTCTAGATACGATATGACGTTATGTCCGAAAAGAGCTTCGCGTACGGAGTTACTTGCTTTTGAGTTACTATTAAGACTAGTTTGCTTAAAAAGATATACATGGACGATGGATTTTGGAGGCTGAACGGACGTAGATCGAACGCCGGAAGATATCGTGGGCAGAATTTCTTTCTCTATGTGAAAAAGATTCATGTTTCTTACGAAAACAATGTAAGTTTCTACTCACCTGTCAACTCGTATCCGTTCTCCGTGTCTTTAATAGATTTCGCGAAGAGCCAGCCGATCACGAAGCCCAAATTGCCCAGGAGTAGGAAACTGGCGCCAATTTCTTCGGGCATTCTCGACAAGGCGGTGTACGTTCGTCCGTCTTGAGTTTGCACGTAACATTGGAGGTCTCTCGATGGGAACTCGATGCCGTTAATATCGCCGGATACTCGGCCGATAACGCGAAGAGGCACATCTGAAAATTAAATCTTTCAGGAAAAGCTGAACTTTGCGGTAGCGTAATCTCTCTCTCTCTCTCTCTCTCTCTCTCTCTCTCTCTCTGTGTCTTCGGTGTAATTGTTTGTTGTTTCCGTCTTTTGCAAATCGTCGCGAAGATTATCGAGTTTAACGATTTTTCCCCAGTAATTTCTCTTAAGGAATCGTACGATCTATAAATTAACATTTGAATTATATATATGAATCAAACCCAGCTATTGTAAATTCATCAATATTCATTCGGTGCAGATAAAACGTAAAGTCGCTTTCAGATCGCTGATGTGCATAAATTATATGCGTGATTTATTCTCGATATACGATGTCAACGATGTTATCGTTGACGTTATCGCGCATGCGAGACTCATGGATCGGTTTTCTGAATTCTCTTCTATGGCTAACAGTGGCTTATAGCCAATCAGAAGACTCGCGCAAGTCACTCTTGGCGCCATTTTTACTGACAAAAGAGAATTTGGAATATCGGCCGTTCGACTCTAGCCGTTCGTGTCGCTTCGCGTGATCTTTCGGTTGACGGTAAAAATAGCACCGACGGAGAGATACAATCCCCGTTGCCTGCACTTCTTGAGAAAGCATCGCGCTTTCTGTTATGGAAATGAAATTATTGGCAGGGGGCATCCTGGCGCAGGCGTCTCCCGTCAAAGAGCCGCTCAGCCCATTTCAGGGTATTCATATCACCGTCTTTACGACGTTACCATGGAAGCCGTAAGAATCAGTCTCGTAAACTATGAATAGATCAGAGACAGGGAGAGAGAAAGATAGAGAGAGAGAGAGAGAGAGAGAGAGAGAGAGAGAGAGAGAGAGAGGGAGAGAGCGCAGCTACACTTATTACGCTGCATCTATCTGCCCAGCGACGACTTCTGGCGCACCTTTGTCTGTGTCAGACGGAGCGTTGTAGAACAAGAAAGTTCGGAACGAGGGGAGAACGCCGTAAGGTCCCTTCTTTATACCGTTTTGAGAATATACTTCAAAGACCTCGTTCGCGTGGCAGTAGTTAGCCCACGGCAGTAGGCGTCCTTATCGCGCGACGCGTACGCGGGGATTTCAAACGGGCGCCGCAGATAAATAACGCTCACCATTCGGCTGGCAGGATCTCCCGTTGCCGAAATAGCCCTGTTTGCAGGTACAGCAGAATCCGATCTCGTACTCGATGCAGGTCGCCTTGCTGTGGCAAGTGGTGGCGCCGGTCCTGCAGCTGGCCGCCTGATGCATAGTCATGGTGTCTAACAAGCGCATATCGGTTAATTCGATTAGTGCCGTAAGATGCAAGGATAACATTCGATTTCGCGATTCTCGAATCTGTCGCGTGTCCTAATTTACAAATTAAATTCGCACGAACGGCGGGTGGAGGGAATAAGGAAAGACGTTAGACCGCACACATCGCACTGTTGCGCCGAACATCTACTCTCTAAATTTCTTGGAGTGTTTCACTTGAAAAGCAGAGTGACAGCCGAGTCACTCGGATTTGAGTGATTTCCCACTTGTTTAAAATTCCTCTTCGCTCTGAGCAGTCGACTGGATATTTGCGCTCGAAATTGAAAAGTGAGTCTGATGTGTTTCGCCATGACAGGAACGAATTCACTCTAAATATCCATTCGATCGAAATATCCATTCTTCATACATTATATCTTAGGCTTCATTTACTCTTACGATTTTGAGCGATAATATTTTTATTGCCGCTTCAAGTGAATTTTGAGAGAGATTTTACTCGAAGAAATTCAGAGAATATGATATTTTTTTTCACATTTCTCATACATTGCCATCGAAAAGTTTTCAAACACTTGTACCATAGAGCGTGTGCATTCAGAATGTTTTTATAAACTTTCTCTTTTGTTTTTATTGTAAAAAGTTGTGTAAAGGAAAAAAGTTATTAATTTATAAGTGAGTAATTTTCTCCTTTATACTAATATACTTTTTAATATGATTTATCAGGGGCGATTAGATGCGATTAGACGCTTTCGACCTAATTCATATTCGCGAAGTCTCATTTATACAAAAATCGCTTCAACATTAAATTGACGCAAAACAACACATGATAATAATACGAGACAACAATCCGTAGCTTTGTTATTTGCGTAGTAAAAGTAAAAGCGTGTCGCGTATAATTGCTTTCAACAGAAATCACAGTTGATATTGATAAATATGCTCGTGCAAGACAAAATTAGCTATACACTAATTTCGTCTTTCTCCATCAAACTCGGAACCTTGCAATACATAAATAACGAAAGAGTTGTACATATACACATCCCGCTCGATGAAAAAGAATTATACATAATTATATATAAATTTTGTCTCCATATGACTGCATATAATTATTTTCATATATTTATATTATATATTATACATGTTCACAGAGAAAAAATGTTGTACAAATACAATTAAAATAATTGTTTATGACAGCCTATGATGTAGACGTATAATTAAATGAAACGACTTGTTTTCTCTTTAACAGCGTTTTTCTCAACACGGACATATATAATTTCACACGATTATATTCATGACAATGTAGAGACAAAATTCGTGTAAGGATAACATATAATTTATGTATAATGAAATATGATTCTACATAATTATATATAATTCTTTTGATTGGGCGATCTGTGTGACCATGTCCGGAGACTTTCCGTCGGCACTGTACATCATTACGTGTATCATACTTTACCGTATGATTTTTTTGTTTACGTAATTGCACGTAACAGTTTGTCACGCGCGTCAACGATTGTTGCTATAACCATAGTTATAATCTTATTACCTTCGATACTATCTGGAGTTTCCACGTTCCCGCCTTCGTCGATGGGTCCGATCTGGAAGAGCCATTGGCCGGGCCTATTTACATTCGACCACCTGAAAACAATTACAAAGGCCCATGAATACGTTGCGCATGTATGTACACACACCGGCGCCGCCGGTCTCTCCCCATTACTCACTTGTCGACATTCTGAATTTGGTCGGTGCCCGAGCCCCTCAGGGTATACATTTTGCCCTCGCTCATGAATCCTGCCTGCGCCTTAGCATCTGGGAGCCCGTTGGGATGCGACTCACCCTGAATCCACTGTATACCATTTTCCGGGTATAGCAGCTCGACAAAGGAATGCGTACAGTTGGATGATATAGCGACTTGATAAGTATTCATCTGAAAAGCGACTCGATGATTGCCAGTCGTATTCTTGGCGGATCTTATTACACGAGTTTATCTTCTTATCTTCCTCTTATCCTTACTTTCTCCGCGAGGAAATATCGAGGAAAAGATGTGCAATCTCAAATGCAACCTTGATATTCTGACGAATATCGTCTCAGCGTTTCTCTGGGATGTATTAATTGAATTGAGAATTTATTCCTCGGTGTCCGTTTCGATAATCGCGCTTACAGTGACTCACCTTATCCTTCCGTTGATTGTAATAACCCACGTCCAGCCAGGTGGCTAGAAAGACGTGCGTCGGCACGAATTCGGCGGCGTCCTTGAAGGCGCTTCGAACCAGTCCTCCGGTTCTCGCAAGAATCTCGGCAGAATCAGTTTCTCTCCAATAAACTGTCCCCGAAGCTCTTGTGTCCACATGCGTGTAGAGAGGTGAGATCACCGGATCGTCCAGGGGGAACGCGATGTTGAAGAACCTCTGCATCGCCCTGGCGAACGACAGAACGCCATTTCCATTTACCTGAAATCGAGGAAACCGGCTTTCCAGTGTTGATATTTATTAGCCGATTCGACGATGTTTGGTTTCTATCTCGTGTTTAAGAACTTTCTCGAAGCATTGGGTCATCTTTGAATATTTTAATTATTCACGATAAACTCAATAATATGTTTAGGTCTCTTATTGGTCATTGAAAAATCTGAAGATATTCGAGTGAATTGATTATATATTTTTTATTCGATGAAATTATCATAGATACTTATCAAGAGCACTCGTAAAAGTAATCATGCATTCACAAAAAACTTGTTCTTATCAATTTTTACTCGCGAACTGCGTAATATATAAAGAGAATTTTTCGGTGTGTTGTTTGCATACTGAGAAAAAAAGTTTTGTCGGGTTAACGAAGCACCAGTAACCGCAACAAATGGTTTGTTAATGCGCGACAGCAAACGACTCCGTTATGGTAAAAAATGATTTGTTACTTATGATTTGTAACGGCTCCAATCAACAATTTTGTAATGGGAACAAATGTGTTGCATCGCTAGCGATGTACATTTGTTGAAACTACAAATAACGGAAAATGATTTGTTACGGTTTGACCCGTTTGATTTGTCCCCCGTACAATTAGCAAACGTTCATTTATTGTTGCAACACAAGTCTTTCTCTCACAAGTAAACCTACCCAAGTGTCCCACTCCGATTTTGATGAAATTTTGCATGCGTATAGAGCATCGAAAAATATTAGACACGTATTTTTTTATATCGGTCCATAAAGCGTTTTTAGGGTAGAAACCACTTCTAAAATTTTTTCGTTTTCTTGTCCTATATATAGATACTCAATATCATGAAATGTTTGAGAAAATAATGTTTCCAGAGGAACACATCAGTTGTTTTTATATTACCAAATCCGAATTCACCAGAAAATTTGAGACTTTCAAAATGATGGATTCAATATGGCGGATCGATATTTGAAGAATATCATGATTCTGTCGTAATTGGCATACATTTATTAATTTTCTGCGATTTACATATCTCAGGGTCTTCAAAGTAAGAAGCAAATCTGGAATCAGATTTTGAAACTCAAAATTATCGGATTCATCATGGCGGATGAAAATTTGAAAACATTTCTCCATCAATTTTTGGAATTGCTGTATGATTTTGTATGTGGTTTCTCTAGGCTGATGATAATAAGTAAATGAGACGGATGCTTTGCCCAAATAATGAAGATATGTCGACCTATTCAGCTAATGAGTATATATGTGAAGTATATATTATTAAATATAGTTTTCTAAATTTGATTATGCATTATAGTTTTTAATTCTGAAGACCTTGAGATATACGACTCATAAGAAATTAATAAATGTACACGAACTTTCGAAAAGTATGATATTCATCAAATATCGGTCCGCCATTTTGAAATTCTCAAATTTTCTGGTGAATTCGGATTTGGTAATATAAAAATAGCTGATGTGTTCCTCCGGAAACATTATTTTCTTAAATATCTCTTGACATTGAATATTTATATACAGGACAAGAAAGCGAAAAAATTGACACTTTAATGGTAATTTCTATCCTTAAAACGCTATGGGCCGATATAACAAAAAATACGTATTTAATATTTTTCGATGCTCTATACGCATGCAAAATTTCATAAAAATCGGAATGAGACAATTGGATAGGTTTACTTGTCAGTATGTAAGGCACTCAACTTATCATGTCATTAAACGAAAACTATCTACAGGCGTCGTTTAAACGCATTTTCTTTAAAAATACTTGGTTGCTAATGGGTGCTCATAATCTTAACAGCTCGTTACAATTTAGCGCTGGGCTAATTCATGCTCGGACGGATGATTATCTCTCTGTAACTCTATCAGCGCCTCGGTACCCATTAACCAACTGACTCCCCCGTGTCCGTATCGCGTCCTTTTTACCCCAACACCCTCCTTCTCGCAGCGCCTCCGCCACGTAATATCCGCCTTAAAGGAGGCGCTTAAACATTCACGTTTCGCCGCAGTTCCTCCGCAACGCGAATATCGTCCGCGGAGTGCATCGACCCGCCGCGGCCGCACCGGTCACGCCGGTACCGGCGCGTTAATTCCGACGGCGGGAATCGCACTCGCGCGCAGCCGGCACGCGACAGTAAATCAGATCTCGTCCGGTGATGTGCGCACGACGGAAGGTCGGCCGGCGTCAGCGGGTCAGCAGGTAAATCGTCGGCACGTGCTGCCTGCGAAATCCGACGATGACGTAATTAGGGGAGGCCCCGCATCGGTCGCGCGAGTCGCTCGGACGCACGGACGCACGTTAATGAGCGCCTGTGTCGAGGAGTCATTCACCCAACGATGCGCGTTGATTGCGACGTCGGCCGCAAGACAACATGCCGTTCGTGAAAAGCCGCGAAGCTATCGCGATGGCGATGATGAATGATACCTTGCCGCGAACGAGCGCCGTCGTGACGGTGAGGACGATGAAATGCGCGTCTGCCGAACGTTAACGCGCCTCTTCGATGAGCTTCATGAAGTCGAAGAGGTCCGACGAGTGTGGGCGAACAAGTGAATCATCATCTGAAGGAATCGCTACCGTTCGTAATTGATTGGTCTTTCTCGACACGGTATAGAATATATATAATCACGAATCGTGGAGGAGAAATGTGAAGACTTATATATATACCATATATATATTAGAGATGTGCGAACTATTCGAATTCGAATCGAATCGAGTCGAATCTAATGTAATTCGATTCGATTCGAATCCGAATCCCTATGATTCGAATCCGAATAATTCGAAAATCTCGAATCGCGAAGATTCGAATACGAATAAAATATATTAGCGTTTGTGCGTATCAGTTATAAAACGGACCATCTGGGCCTGTATAATTGAACCCTTAACTTATTTTTAATTAATTACTAACTAATAATGTTTAATTACCGTAATTAACCTAACTAATAATTAATAACTTAATTATAAATTACTATAAATATTTAAATATATATTTTATTTTAAGATAATATTACAATATTAATATTTCCTTTCACATTAAAATCTTCCATCATTATTTGCACGTTTAATATTCATGTTAAATTTTTTAATGGTTCGATTCGATTTGATTCGAATTCGAATGAAATTTCATAGATTCGATTCGATTCGAATTCGAATTTAAAAAATGAGATTCGATTCGATTCGACATAAAAATTCTTGATTCGCACATCTCTAATATATATATATATATATATATATATATATATATATATATATATACGCAACTTTTTTTCCGAGACCTTGACGTAATCGTGTTCAATTAATTATACGCTTGACGAAAAGATATCCAAGAGCGCAATTTCCATTACATTTTCATCGTTTCTCACATTTCTCGCTTTGGAAACTTTGATGGCGTAATTAGCAAGAAAGTGCCTCAAGTGTAAAATTCATTATTCGCGATTATTCTTTAGTACCGCCCGTCTGAAAGAGAAAAGGACCGGCCAACGCGATCCGATATCATCCTTGCGCTGGGGCCGCCGACTCGTTTTGTCAATTGGCTAAAATGAAGTGCGCCAAACTACACGACTCTTGCTCCACATTTGACACGATGCACTCGCCGGCAACACCGGAGCGCAGCTGTCCCTTCGTAAGAAAGAAATCCTCCGTCATTAACGGGACAAAATTAAAATTCCCCGAAACGTGCCCGCGCGAAACCTAACCGCTCGAAATGTTGCGCTTAGAGCAGACGATTGGCGTAACTCTCGCGCTACTCGTTCTTCAACATCGCTTCAACTTGTCAAGACACACGCAGGTCCTTCTGTTGATTCTTCTTAGCAATTTTTTATTTTTAGCAAAACTTCAAAATATAACTTGCGCACGCTGAGTATATTTCGACTTTTAACCTTCCTCAAGAAGATACATATTGTTTACTAAAAAAGAAGTCTATGTCTCGTAATTAATTGTCACAAACAATAAAAGGCGTATTTTCAGACTGGTGCAGGCTCGAGGAAGATAAGTCGCTCACGCGCTTAACATTTACCACAATAGTCGGATTTCGACGTGCGTCCGGTCTAAATTCGCGGCTTGTTCCCACGTTCTGCTTCTTTCTCTCTCTCTCTCTCTCTCTCTCTCTCTCTCTCTCTCTCTCGCTAGCGACGTTAATTCTTATGCGCCTCTCAAAGTTCAAGCTGGAACGTCCGTTTGCTCAGATGACCCATATTGTTTTCACGTGAGGTTAATATCACGGGCGCCGCATCGAATTTAACGCTCAAGTCGCGCGCATCGTTAACGAGCGACCCGGTCAAGCGAATTGACACGAATTAGAGCGACAAAGTAATAATCCCCGTTACGACACTATCCTGACATTAGGCTTGTTTCATGATTTTGTTGGTAGCGAGGTAGTTCCTCCTCTCAAAAGGCAGAAACCGGATCGTTCGGCTGCATTTTCTATCTCCGGTAGTTTCTCATTATAACTTTGTTAAAGCGCAGTTCTTTTGCAATGTTGGTTTTTCCTCGTATTCTCTTATTATCGAATTCGGTTATTTAAAGTATCACATAACACGTATTTGTATAGATTTCTAGCGAGAATACAAAATGATTGTACTTCGTTCATCTGTACCAAGCAGATGCGAAGTTTAATACGACGTGTTACCGCGGAAGCGATATTTTTCTTACAAACGCGGCGAAGTGCGCCGCGACGAGTGGCGAATTCGCTAAAACGATTTCTGAATTTTTCCTCGCATAGCTATCGGAGAACGCCGTTCGCTCGTTCCCGAGCGCCGAACGCAGCAGTATGACTGCCGCTCAAACTGCGGCTCTCAAACGAGCAGCAGCTCTCTCCAATTTTCGATATCCAATCAATATTATTCGTCCCGCTGTACGTACGCGAGTTTACGAGCCGATAATCAGTATCGGTCATCAAGGCGTCCGATAATCGATGCCCGGGAACGTCCAGCTAGTATCGACGGTCGCGCCGAAGCTCGTCTACGTGCTCGGACATTTTGACATTCGCGTAAGTCAGCTAGTGGGAGTTCAGCCCACTATCAT